CCCTCCCTCCCTTTTTTCCACCCGCCCCTCCCTCCCTTTTTTCCACCCGCCCCTTCCTTCCTTCTTTCCACCCACAATTTCGTTCCTTCTTTCCAGCCACCCCTCCCTTCCTTCCTTCCTTCCACTTACCCCTTCCTTTCTTCCACCCACCCCCCTTTCTTCTTTCCCCCCCCCCCTTCTTCCACCCCTCCCTCCCTTCCACCTCTTCCTTCCACCCACTCCACCCTCCCTTACACCCACTCACCCCTGCCTTCCTTCCTCCCACCCCTCCCTTCCTCACACCCCCCTCCCTTCCTTCCTTCCTTCCACCCCTCCCTTCCTTCCTTCCTTCAAGGGGGAGAAGTTGGTGGTGTTGGCGGAGGGAGTGGTAAAAATGCAGCTCAGCTGTGAGCTGAACCCCCCCCCAAAAAAAAAAAATTATCTACAGCCCTGCATAAATCTATAAAGGAGCATCCCAATTTGCATAGTTACCGTGAACCAGCTTCATAAAATAAATGACTATTACTGTTCCTTCACCACGCAAACCTATCCACAAAAATACTTTAATTAAAGCCAATCTATATTGTAACCTGATGTATGTTCAAAGAATTATTTTGTTGATGAAGGGTGAAATATGTATTTCACTCTACAGAGTGAAATACATTGTACAGAGTACAGGAATGCATTGAGGGTCAGGACAGTTATTAGGATTTTTTTTTTTTTTGCGTAGGGCTTGGTTATTAGCGAAATGGTGTTACTCAAAAGGTTATGCATACCAGTCTAATTATTACACTAATCATGGCCAATAGCTGTATGCAGTTTGGAATAAATTAATCCTACAAAGAAGGCAAGTCCTGCTAGAACTGATACCACATTTATTGTTTCACAAGTACAGGTGAAACTCGAAAAATTAGAATATCGTGCAAAAGTTCATTTATTTCAGTAATGCAACTTAAAAGGTGATAGACTCATTACATGCAAAGCTAGTTCAAGCTGTGATTTGTCATAATTGTGAAGATTATGGTTTACAGCTCATGAAAACCCCAAATCCACAATCTCAGAAAATTAGAATATTACATGCAATCAATAAAAAAAGGATTGTACATAGAACAATATCAGACCTCTGAAAAGTATAAGCATGCACATGTACTCAGTACTTGGTTTGGGCCCCTTTTGCAGCAATTACTGCCTCAATGCGGCGTGGCATGGAAGCTGTCAGCCTGTGGCACTGCTGAGGTGTTATGGAAGACCAGGATGCTTCAATAGCGGCCTTCAGCTCTTCTGCATTGTTCAGTCTCATGTGTCTCAACTTTCTCTTGGCAATGCCCCATAGATTCTCTATAGGGTTCAGGTCAGGCGAGTTTGCTGGCCAATCAAGCACAATAATCCCACGGTCATTGAACCAGGTTTTGGTGCTTTTGGCAGTGTGGGCAGGTGCCAAGTCCTGCTGGAAAATGAAGTCAGCATCCCCATAAAGCTTGTCTGTGGAAGGAAGCATGAAGTGCTCCAAAATCTCCTGGTAGACAGCTGCGTTGACCCTGGATTTAATGAAGCACAGTGGACCAACACCAGCAGATGACATGACTCCCCAAATCAACACAGACTGTGGAAACTTCACACTGGACTTCAAGCATCTTGCAGTGTGTGCCTCTCCATTCTTCCTCCATACTCTGGGTCCTTGGTTTCCAAATGAGATGCAAAAGTTGCTCTCATTAGAAAAGAGGACTTTGGACCACTGTGCAACAGACCAGGTCTGTTTTTCTTTAGCCCAGGTAAGACGCTTCTGACATTTGTTGTTCAGGAGCAGCTTGACAAGAGGAATACGACATTTGAAGCCCATGTCCAGGATCCGTCTGTGTGTGGTGGCTCTTGATGCACTGACTCCAACCTCAGTCCAATCCTTGTGAAAGTCCCCAACACTTTTGAATAGCCTTTTCCTGACAATCCTCTCCAGGCTGCGGTCATCCCTGCTGTTTTGCACCTTTTTCTTCCACACTTTTCCCTTCCACATAACTTTCTATTAATGTGCTTTGATACAGCACTTTGGGAACATCCAACTTCTTTTGCAATTACCTTTTCAGGCTTTCCCTCCTTATGGAGGGTGTCAATGATGGTTTTCTGCACAACTGTCAGGTCAGCAGTCTTTCCCATGATTGTGATTCCTACTGAACCAGACTGAGAGACCATTTAAAGGCTCAGGAACCCTTTGCAGGTGTTATGGATTAATTAGCTGGATTAATTAGCTGATTAGAGTGGGATACTTTGAGCCTAGAATATTGCACCTTTTCACAATATTCAAATTTTCTGAGATTGTGGATTTGGGGTTTTCATGAGCTGTAAGCCATAATCATCAGTTTCACCTGTACTTGAAAAGGAAGAAAAATACAGGTACATGGGTTCAAGGGCCTGAGAGTACACAAACATTTGGTTGATACAGTCAACAACAAGATCAATGTGTATAACACTCCTCCAGAATAAGAACAGGTAAACTCGCTTGGGCTGCTATGACTTCTTCAAAGATGAGCTCTACATCCAGAGTGCCACAACTGTGAAACGCATTGGAGAAGTCTACATCAGATAGTAGTTGTCAGGGAACGAGAAGATCGCCACGATGCATGAATCTGCACATGCGTAGGATCCCGTCAAGACAGAGGCAGGCGGGCACTAGGACCCAGGCGCGACTGTCACCAATGACAGTGCTGGCAGGCACTAGGACCCAGGCGCACCTGTCAGTGCCGGGTGGGCTATTTAAACCAGCTCTTGCAATGCTCACATTGCCGTATGGTCTTATTCCTGTGTTCCTGTTCCTAGTACCTGAGATTGCCTTTGTTGCCAAACCTGCCTGACCCGGATTATTGTGACTCTCTCCTGCCCTGATCCCTGGCTTGTCTGACCATTCTTCTGCTTTCCCCTATTTACCTGACCTCCTGTTGCTGAACCTGGCCTGTGACCCGTTTATCCGTTTGCCTGCTGATCTGTACCGTCTGCCTCTGCTGTTACCGACCTGGCCTGTCTGACTACTTTACACACTACCTCTTCCCATCTGGCTCTCACTTGTTACCTACCACTGGCAAATCCACCTCTACAGCTGGTTGAACTCGGGGGTTGTGACCTGGTCTCAGGCTGCTTCAAGTCCATCCCCACCATCAGGGGCTCTGGTGAAACAGCAGACTGAGGCTTAGATTCCGCGCCCTGAGGGATTCCGGCCTGTGGGTCGCTAGAGGCTACCTTCAGTCGGTCCATAACAGTAGTCCTAAGGGTTGTGGATTGAATTGAAGTCTTGAAACACAAGGCGGGAAGGTAGAGTTATTGCCAAGTGTTGAAACACATATATAGAGCCCTCAGTGACAAATTCATGAGGTAAGGAAGCTGGCAGTCCTTCTAACAGTTCCAGGCAGGATAGATAGCGTAGCAATAGGAAAAATAAAAAAAAGATAATGGGAGGGGTGGGAAGGGGTCTGTGTAGAAGGGAAGTAGGTATAGGAAAGAGCCCGGTAGGGTGAGGGAGACTCTCCACTCCTCTTCCTCCAACTGGGACACCCTCCAATGGGTGTCAGGGGTCTTCATGACAGCAATGTTGGGAGGGAAAGAATGAATGGATCTCACCTATGTGGACTAGCCAGGTTCATACCCATTACGCTGCAGAATTCCATTGGAGTTTGAAAATGCATCCAACAGGACCAGAAAGTGATGGATTTGCAGACAGTATCACATGAGATAGCGATGAGTTCCTCCATTTCCTCAATTATGTTAATTGGGGCTTGAGTAGTGCCCCAAAGGACATGGATACTGAGCTTGGCTGAATTTAGCAGGTGCCATCAATGACTTAAGATATGACCATCTCCAGTATCTCCAACAAAGGTCAGGTACAGATTGTGAATATTTATGGGCAATCACTGTATCATTGTGACAAGATGTTGTATCCGTTTTCCTGGACTGTCATGCTCACTGAGCTTGTGGATGCATGTAAAAATGTGTTCCCATTGCTCTTCCATCAGGTCTAAAGAGAGTTCTATTTCCCAAAAGCAAGAAATCTTATCGTCCTTGACCATTGTGTTCTGAGAGCGACATCTTGTTGGTTCGACTAAATATACATACGTGAACAGACATGAACAATAGTGGGTGGTGGGGATTTTTAAGGTATCAAAATGTAATACAAATACAATAAATTATTCTTAAAATGGCTTACTGGTTATTACATCTGTTGAAAAGGAACATAAAAATATACAGAATTATCCAACTAGATTGACAACAGATGTAATTATACCAACATGGATAGTTTCAATAGTATTAGCTACTCTTTCCCAACTATTGCTGCAAACATATCACATCAACAAACAGTAGATGAGATACTCCACAGGTGGTTGGTGGTATAATATTAGGTTTTAGCAGTACTATACACTAGTGGTTCTGGATGTGGTGCTCCATACACACAATGAGAATATTGGACAAATTATTGTCCTTTTTTTTTTTTTTTTTTTTTTTTTTTTGAATGCTAGTTTTACATCGTAGACATTGCTAAAGTTCCGAAAATTCTTGTATGACAGAAAAAAAAAATTCAGAAGTGATGTAATGTATTGCATTTGTATTGTATATTTGGACAAAAACTGTACTAATTAAACAAAAATCGTACGATCTGGTATCGTACAAGAAAAATTTTTGTGCTTGTCTCTTCAAATACTTCTGGATGAAAGCTGTGTACTAACAATCAGATAATCATACGATCACTTCAAAAGTGGTATTTTTTTGCACAATTTTCTGATCATGTGTACAAGGCTTAAGCCATTAGGGCAAAAGGACCATGCAATGCTCTGCTCCCTCTCCTGAAAGAAGGAATTACCCCTTATTTTTGGAAAATGTGATGGAATTAGTTATATGAAAACCTTTTGTTCTAAGAAGTCTCTACTGTGCTATACTTTATATGCATGAATGCAGTCCATATTCTACCTTTATCTCTGTAATTCTGCTACAGGTTTTCGTCAGCAGCAGTGTCATTTTGTGAAGGGGCATTCTTCATACACATGTTTCTCATGCACTGTATAAGGTAATACCTGTGTCCCACTTTGTTCAATAATATAGAAACCACATTTTATGTCAAATACTGTTCTTGTATATAATGTAATAAAAACACACTCCTCTTCAAATGTAGGTGGCAGTCAGAACCCCGTCTGTATGTATGCTTAAGGAAAACAGCACGAATGGGAGGATTTCAGAAATTCTTGGGGTACGGCATACTGTCAGTGGCCTGCTTCCTTCACCCAGTACTGGTCTGGCACGTTACAATTCCAGGTATGAAATGTATTATCTAAGGTTAGAATTCAATTCTATTTGTTACAGACTGCCCCCGTTGATGACGTTTGGTCACTCATAGGGTCGTGCTCTTGGAAATGTCCCTGGGGAGATCATCACTTCCAGGCAAAACTTGTTTTCTGCTTTCAGATAGAGTAGGGAAAAGTTCAAACTTTTAGATATTTATTGTCTGTGTCTCCATTTATGAGTTTTACTCTTTCTGCCCAGAGGCCACTGCCAATGGAACAGAAAGTGGTGGGAAATCTATAATATTACAGTTGTCATTAGAACAGGAGTTGAGGAGAAATCTTTCATTGAGGATACGTTTTCCAGTGACCACTATCAAAGGTTGGACTTCCCCTCAGAATAAAAAAAGAAGTCTCGAATAATGATCCACTTAAACTTTTTTGAACTAACCAAGGTGATCCTGAAATTATGTCCAGGAAACAAAATCCACAGGATTTTAGTCCACTCTGTGACAGGCTGTAATTCTTTAGAGTTCATTGTTCACATGGGCATACCGATCAGTACACCCAAGGAAAGGGTTCATCTGCATCAATGTGGAATGCAGAAGTGTACTGTGCAGACAGTCTGTTGAAATCACAGGTGCCAGGCTGCACAGATCTGCATGGATCTTCACGTGCATCCCGAACTGTACATCTGCAAGGCAGCTTGTTTTGTTGAAAAACAACAGACTTACTTGCAGGATTACAAGGTGATAAAAAACCTAAAAAAAAAAAAAAAGGATTTGCTAAAACTGGAGCACTCAGAATCTGGTGTAGCTGTGCATAATAGCCAATCAGCTTCTAACATCAGCTTGTTCAATTAAGCTTTGACAAAAAAACCTGGGAGCTGATTTATAAGCAGAGCTGCATCAGATTTGGCATGCTCCAGTTTTAATAAATCCCCCCCTATTACTGTATATGGCAGTCCTTGAAATGTAAATACAAGAGGTGTATTTTAGAAAGGATTGGCTAATAAATTCACCAATGAATCATTTGGGGCAGTTCATCTACATTCACCTAACATTCCCCAGTCACATTCATCCTATCTGTAATAATGAGACTAGGCGAATGTCAAATTTTGAAGGTGAATTTACCAGCTGCATAGTGATGAAACTGATTTCTATTTTGTTTAAATAAAAAATCCTAACTCCATTATTTTACACACAGCAAACCTGACATGCCAGGCATGTGGACTGCTATCCTTATGGGAAAGGGGCATTGAGTAATATGCTAACTAAGGGTCGTTCACACTTGACTGTTTTACCAACGCTTGCCAAATGCCCCTATAGTGTTTGGCAAGTGTTGGTCCGGCGTTTTCGGAGTATTTTTTTAAACGCTCAGCAAACACTCCGCAAATGCCGCATGCACGGTTTAGCGGCGGTTGCTAGGCGTTTACAGAGCATTAAAAATGCCCCACAAACGCCTAGAATGAAGTTTGAATGGTGTTACCGCTCAGAAAATGCCCCGCAACTGCACCACAAACACAGGCCGGGCGTTTGCGGAGTGGCACCATAGACTAGAATAGGAGGCTTCAACGCTTCTTGACTTGACCAGAGGCGTCCGTTTTGCCGCGACGCGATGCTAACACTCCCGTTAGAACAGCACCATGTGCTGCAACGTGCAGAATTGTCCGAGGCGTTTGGAAAGCGGTAAAAACGCTTCCCAAACGCCTCTCTGCTGCCTGCACACAACGCTAGTGTGAACGTAGCCTTAGGAAACAACATTTTTAACCAGCATATGTACCATAAATAGTGTGAATGTTGCTGAGTGAATATGAGCTAAAAGCATGATACATTTGCTAGAGAACCCTTTATAAACATACTCCTTAAGTACCTAATAGACAGTAAGTGTAAAACACTTGCACCAGGGAGATTCACTTGCACTGAATGTTTGGTGAATGGCAGATTAACCTATTATACATTTATAAAACTTTATAAATTGCTCCAATGTTTTATGTTGTATTTAATAAGTTACCAAAGAATACTTTCTGGAGTCAAAATAAGGGTCCCAAGTGTTGTATGAAAAATCTAACCTTGCATAGTTTTTAGGGAGGCCCAACTCTGGAACAGCTCTGATCCAAGTATTTGGCTTACTCACTCAACAACTTAAGTATTCAAATCCCTCGACTCCTACTTTGGCGGTCCTAGGGATTCCCCTAGCACTCTGGAAGGTGAATGAATTCAGTGTAAGCATAAGCGAACACTGGTTCATATTAGTTTAGTTGTTGTCAGAAGAATAATATTAAACTCTTGGCTAGATGACAGCTTCTCCATTTTAGGAGGAATATGCATTCTCAAAATCATTGTATGTAATTCAAGCGCAACAGATCAGCCATGGATTAAAATAAAAATACATTTAAAAAACAACCAGCAATTATATACACTATATTGCCAAAAGTATTGGGATACCCCTCTAAATCATTGGATTCAGGTGTTCCAATCACCTCCATGGCCACAGGTGTCTAAAATCAAGCACTTAGGCATGCAGACTGCTTCTACAAATATTTGTGAAAGAATGGGTTACTCTCAAGAGCTCAGTGAATTCAGGCATGGTACTGTGATAGGTTGCCACCTGTGCAATAGATGCAGTGGTTTAAAGCATGCCGCCACTGGACTCTAGAGCCACTGCTTTAGAGTCCAGTGGTGGCATGCTTTACACCACTGCATGTTCTCTGGAGTAATGAATCATGCTTCTCTGTCTGCAAATCCAATGGACATGTCTGGGTTTGGCAGTTACCAGGAGAACGGTACTGGCCTGACTGCATTGTGCCAAGTGTAAAGTTTGGTGAAGAGGGGATTATGGTGTGGGGTTGTTTTCATGGGTTGGGCTTGGCCCCTTAGTTTCAGTGAAGGGAACTCTTAAGGCATCAGCATACAAACACATTTTGGATAATTTCATGCTCCCAACTTTGTGGGAACAGTTTGGGGATGGCCCCTTACTGTTTCAACATGACTGCTCACCAGTGCACAAAGCAAGGTACATAAAGACATGGATGAGCGAGTGCAATAAGTCCATATGTGACATTTCCTTGCTACTATATATTCCACAGCCAACTATTAGTGGTGTTATAACAAAGTGAAAGCAACTGAAAAAGAGCTGAGGAGTATCAGGAGGCGCAATCAGTATTGAAATTACTGTTTGCAGGCAGCAGTGTACCATGGGATATGTAGTCCTTTTGACATTACAAGTAAACAGCAGAGCAGAAGCACCAAAGCATGCTGGAAAATGAGGAACTTGTGGAAAGAGATGGCCAGCAGGCTGGCAGCATATACACCATGAAAGTGGATTTTTCAAGAAAGCTTATAATGGATTGTCAAAAATAACTATTTGTCACGATATACGGTCAGGTTCAGAGACCAGTTGCTACAGCAGTTGTAAGGCTTACCTGAAACCAGCAGGATTGGTACACCAGCGGCCCACCCTGGGAATGACGCAGGCTCACCTGAGGTGCGGGGTCTAAGCATCCACCGGTCTTCTCCAGAGCTCCTAATGGTGGAGATGGATTTGGCTGCGTGTGAATGCCAGGTCGCAGATCTCAGGATCACCCCACCAGGGAATGAGTAGGCTGGAAACCAAAAGCGGATCAAACAGTTCAGGGATCAAACAGAAGCGGAGTCAGTCACAAGCCAAGGGTCGGCCACCAATGGTAGTAGATAGGATGAGGCAGAATCGTAGTCAGTAGCAAGCCAAAGGTCGGTAACGTAGATGAAGACAGCAGCAGGAACAGTAAGCGGGATATTGGCTGGTAAGGCACAATAATCTGGCAAGGAGGAAGTGCATGGACATGGCTTTTATAAGGAAGTTCATGGGAGGAGCAAGGAGTTCAAGGTTCAAGAGAAATCAAGGCACAAGGCAAGATTATCCAAGAATTGTCAAGGGAGCTGTCCAGCATTCCAGATAGCTCAGTGAGAAGAGACATTGCCTCCCACTGCAGAAGGACCAGGTTCGATCCCAGGCTCTGAAACTATTGCTTCTATTGTTATTACAGGCTGATATTACAAAATTAAAGTGTATGCTATAACTTTAGAACTCATTTAAGAATTTAATTGTTGTCTAAATACATTTTGTTTCCTTTTGGCTTTCTAGATCAATGCAATGTTATTTAAAATTGCACAAGTACAATTCTCAAACCGGAGGAAAATCACAGCCTATTAATAAAAGTTGTAGCAAGTTACCACACCCTAGAAATTCTTGATAGTTCTATTAGGTGTCTCCACTGAGAGAACCATAATAGGGTAGTCTTGAGCATTGCCAGGTATATAGTATTCCCATTTAGTCTAAGACAAATTTGGCAGGGTCCATCAGAATGGGATAGACCAAAGTGGCAAGGCTTCCTGAGTTTAATATGACTTTACTGGTCATCCTTCTATTGAAACAGGACTTATCTGCCCTCCAATCTCAGTTCCTAGTTGTGCTGCTTTAACAGGCTTGGCAAGTAGTGGCACACACACCCCCAAGTTTCATTCCATAGCCTCATGTAATATAGTGAAACCTGGCAGACACATGTCCCAGTCCCTTGCACTGCCAGCACATTATATGCCATGTCTCTCTCACAGAAAAGATTCCTTTCATGCTAGTAGGCATTATATCTGGCAGCCATGTGTGTCTCATCCTTCTCCTTAGTGGCCTATTTACCTCTTGGTCAACATTTCCTCTTTCCAGAGGTTACTGGCTTGGGTGCAGATCCTGGATCCATATCAGTATGTTGCTCCACATGGGACATCAGGTCCTCCACACAGTTGTGGGGGTTTAATGTGAGTATGGTTGAGCACCTCTAGATGCAACCAGTTGTTTGTAAAGTGGAACAAATCATATGTCTGGGCTTTTGCAGACTTTTCAGAGTGATGTTTATATATGAGCAGGGGTGAACTGACCATTTGGAAACTCGGGCACTGCCCGAGGGCCCGGGGTCAGTAGGGGGCCCCATGAGATGCCCCTCATACCTTTTTCATAGGTTTTTTGAGTTTGGGCAAGGACACAGGGGCCCCATGATCCCCTATTGCCCGGGGGCCCCATGAGTTGCGCCCCTGTATATGAGCACACCCCCCATGCTTCCACAGCCATGGGAACTCCAATCCTAGCTAGGGCTTCTCTTTGACATCCTGAGGTTGCAAGTCAAAGTATGCCATTTGGGGGCTCCTTCATTAAAAAGGGTGCTAATACATCCACCCACTGCTCCTATGGATCAGCTGGGTGTTCAGTTTGAATGTTCAGATGAATCCTGAAAGTTTGGGACATTCCCATTGCCTGGCACATATCCTCAGTCTGGTGGTGCAGTGGTTCTTGGATCGGTGTCATGAGTAGAAGTTCTTCTGAGACAGGCCAGAGGAGTTTGTAGCCATTTTAGGTGGCCCTAATACTGGATGAGTGAAATTCAGTGGCATGCAATCCACCTGATCTGTGACATGTGCGAGGACAGGTTTGAGGGAGTTGGGCTTTTTTTCCCTAAGTCAATGGCTGCTAATATAGGATGCATGCACTGTAGACCCCAAATGTCTCCATAAAGAGGACCTGTCACCTGCCCAATGCTTACACATAGGCCCATGTGACAGCAGTAAAATTTAAAAAAAAAATTGTAAAAAAATTAATTGTAATTATTTTTATTTACGTTATATAACAAATTTTAAAGCACCCCTGTACACACCCTACATCAACACACAGCATTTGTGAGGTCAGGCACTGATGTCAGATGAGGAGGCCTGGCTCGCAGTATCCACTCTAATTAACCCCAAAGGTGTTCTATCAGGTTGAGGTCAGAACTCTGTGCAGGCAAGTCGAATTCCTCTACACCAAACTCGCTCATCCATGTCTTTATAGACCTTGCTTTGTGCACTGGTGCTAAGTCATGTTGGAACAGGAAAGGGTCATCCCCAAACTGTTCTCACAAAGTTGGGAACATGAAATTGTCCAAAATGTCTTGGTATGCTGATGCCTTAAAGTGGTAGTAAACCGCAGCTGGGGAAAAAAAAAAAAATCACCTGGAAGGTAATACCATAATGTGCTGGTATGGAATGCATACTAGCACATTATGTAGGACTTGCCTCCAGTGGTGCGGTGTCCCCACTGCAGAGGCTTCCATCTTCACCCGGTCTTCCTTCCTAGTTTGTGAGTCCTGGCCACTGGACTGTCTGAGCCGCACTGATGTCTTGATGTCTTGGGACACGACAGTGCTCTAAAGGAAGCTTTATTGTAAGCTTACCTGTTAGGTAAAAGATACAAAAGTGGGTTTACTCCCACTTTAAGAGTTCCTTTCACTGGAACTAAGGGGCCAAGCTCAACCCCTGAAAAACAACCCCACACCATAATCCCCCTCCACCAATTTTACACTTGGCACAACACAGTCAGGCAAGTACCGTTCTCCTGGCAACCGCCAAACCCAGACATGTCCATCGGATTCCCAGACAGTGTGATTCGTCACTCCAGAGAACACGTCACCCCTGCTCTAGAGTCCAGTGGCGGTGTGCTTTACACCACTGCATCTGATGCTTTGCATTGCACTTGGTGATGTAATGTATTCCTCAGATTGCCATGTGCATAACACTTTGCAAGCAAAGAGTTCTAGATTACACACAATTGGTGCTAATTTTGTTCAATTGCATAGAATAACTTAAAGAGCTAATTGACCTTGCAAAAACACTGCCTATGCGGTTCAGTGGCTTCAGTAGCAAAAAAAAAAAACTGTGCTACTATGAACAATATTTAATATTGTACCTGCTATTGTTGTAGGCCTTTTTCATCTCTCCAGAAGCTTGCTGAAAAAACTCTTATAGCTGACTTTTTCCCATCCTGCCCTTCTGCTAGGATGTTACTATGACTTCAGCAGAAGCTCCAGCCCTTGATGCTCAACTCCATCATCACAACAGTCCACTATCTGTAGGCTTCAGACAACGAGCATGCGTGGTGAGCTTTATACAGTACCTGTAGCACTAACCCCTTAGGAGTTGCTGGATTATTTTGGGGCTTCCTGTTGCTCTGGACCCCTCTCTGAAAGCCCAACCCTTGCTGACACCACAGTATACTCTTAACCAGGATAAATCATCCCCAAAAAGTAGACTTACACACTGATTGGAGTAAGCTGGTAAGAGGTTTATAGCAAACGTCAATGTAGCTTAGTTACACAACATAAACAGAATTGGCATGTGCAGAGTCAGTTAATACTTGTGTCAGCTTTAAACAAGAAAAGAAAACAACACTTATCACAGAGTCTCAGTTAGTGTTAGCAGGCCTGCTTTTCAGATACTGACCCAATACCTTCAACCTGAAGTAGCTTTACAGTCCCCAGTGAGCAGCTAGGACTATCAAACAGGTAGACTAGCTCACTTCGGGCCCTCAGGACCTGGTGGCAACAAGGTACCTTGAAATAAGGAAAGAGCTCTTTACCCCAAAACAAGCAATGTTCTTTTAAAGGCAGTGAAGAGTCTGCTGACCGCGTGATGGGGCCCAGTTGGTGCACAGTGAGAGGAAGTATGAGTAATGGTTCTCTGAGGAACAATGCAATAAAGAAGGGAAAGAACAGCACTCCCCCTGGAAGCAGCAATTGACTTGGGTAATGCTCCTTTAAAACACTAGTCACTAGTGAATCTAAAACAACAAAAGGTTAAGCTGGCAGAAGTGATTGTTGGCACAGGGCAACTCCTCTGTAGACTGCAAGACTATTGGCACAATAAGAAATGGTCTTCTTAAAAGAGTAAATTGATGATGGTGGTGACATAGCGGTGGTTCAGCCTGTGGAATGACTGTTCTGCTATCAGCTCCGATGATGAGGTTGTGTTAAGTGTAGTCAAACGCCTCAACTTTTAATAAGTATGTACAATGTCCACAACTGTGTGCAGGAGAATAGCAAAGGTGGAGCAAGTGTCAGTGTTCCCTATCCTTGGTAATGCTTGGGGCTCTCTCACCCAAAGGATGGCATCTGGTGAATTCTGGCAGTCTTTCTCTCTCCTCCGATAGGGCCTCCACGCACTCTCTAATCCTTCATGCAGCATTCCATCTGTTCACCTGCTTGCAGATGAACTTTCTTGACAATGCGGCAAGGTTAGCGATCAGCCTCCCTTCTCTCTCTCTTTCAATGGTCTGGTCCGGTCCTCCCGCAGTCAGCGCACTCCTCTCTCCAGATCTCTCCCCTCTCACTTACTGTCCCATCTCCCAGGCTTTTACATATATATGCTCCGCCCACACACCAACTCCTCTGGGAAACATAATTTCTAGATACACTGCTCCTTAGTAAAGTCCAGCGATTCAGCATACAAGTTCCGTGGGGCTGTTCTAGAGTGTGAATGCCACTGTTCTGCAGGATACTGCCATCTTGTGTTCACTTTAACATCCTGTAGCAGGGTGTTACATACCCATTGGCAATACTACTGAGCTCTGTGCTACTGTGACAAGCGACATAGAGAAAGCACATGCATCGGGTTTTGAATCAGTAACAGAGCATGCTCTTCTGACTGGGGAGGCAGGTGTTATTGACTGAAGTGTCACAGCAATGTTGTAGCAAGAGGGCAGGACAGCAGACCACTTCCCATGAGGGTTTACAAACAGGCTACTGGAAGGGTGAGAAAATGCCTACCCCAATAGCAGATACATTATTCAATTTTGTTCATAGACGCATGGTTTGTTTTTATGTACTGGTGCCCCTTGAGTGCATAAGCATTTCTTCTGCAAAAGTGAACTAACGTTTAAAACTGGTAAAACACATGACGTGTAGTTTATGAAGATCTAACCCAGAAAAGGTTAGTGATATATAGAAAACCAATAACTATAATGGAAAATGTTTTACTTACCAAGACTAAACCAGCTTCCTTATACTTATTTACAGGAACCATGTTAATTGCCACCGGTCTTGCCTATCTTTTCTTAAGTAAAAGGAAGAAGACTAAGAGCAAGGAATGCGTTTTGCAGGCTGATTATTACACAGACCCCTCCACAACAGCCATTGCTATGACAAGAGCTGGAGACACAGAACAAACCTACACATTCAATGGCTCCCTGCGCGAGAAGAGAGAGTCTCTACTAACCCATATGAGGAGCATCCTCAAAGTAAAGAAGGACCGTCAACCTCCTAAGCCAACAGACCAAAGTCATGTGGATACTTCTATAGACTCTTCTGCCAAAAAGAAACAAGTTCACTTTGAGGAAAAGGTTATCAAAATTATCCCCCTAGAGGAAGGCATTCTTGAAGACCAGGACAGTGAGCTTGAGGTGACAGTTTCAGACACTATTCCTATCATACCAAGTGAGCCCAAACAGGTTCTTAACACCTTACCCATGACATCTGGCATTTTTTAGGGATTTTGGTTATAAAATAGTAACACTCTGTTGGCAATATTATTTCCTGGGAATAACTGTGAAGCTAACCCAAACTCCCGCAGACTGCTTTTGGCAAAAATATTTGGGTGGAGTACCAAGTATATCCTTGACCAAAGAAGTGATTGTTCATTATATTATGTTACATGATGATTATACCATGGATCCCATAGTAGTTTATGCTGTAGAGAGCAGCAAAGTGTCCAAGGTATTTATTGTGATCTCAACGACAAACTGTTGTAATTTATTTACTTCTTCAAACTTGTAACATACTGTAGATGTTGAACACTGTGATTTATTTTATTATCTAATGTGGTTACACACAGTCCAATGTGATTTTACAAATCAGCAAATGGATGATAGGAAACAGTTTGTGGTAAATTTAATGTTTTCTGTTCTCAGAGGTGTAAAAGCTAGCATGCAGTCCAGCCTGGTATCATGCAAAAATATTCAGTCCTTATGTACTGAAGTGCTGCTTCTTGTAAACTTGACTACAATAGTCCTGGCTGCTGCAAACAGAGGTTTGCAAATAAAGCATCCTTGATACTTTGTTAAAATTAACTCCACTATACAGCTCATGTCTGCAGCAAGCGTTTCAGCAAAAATGAAAAGTTGATAAACATTTCACTTTTGCACTGTAGTCCTGCTGACATAAATCTTCTACACTTCCCCTCAAGGTCTTCCCCACCCATACAAACACATGTTTTTCAGGTATGTACAAATAATTGATTATTTATATCTATCTTCGCCACGAAATCATGTTGATTGACAGCAGAGCTAAGAGATAAGAAATGTGGAAGTTCCTACTGTATCGGGGAACTAAGCTTTCTTACCTGATTCAGAAATGTTTTCCTACAATTACCATGCGGTAATGCTATGTGACAATTTTAGATACATATACTTGTATAGATACATTCAGGTAAGACACCTTACACCTCAAAATAAAGTGGGATTTTCCTGTGCCTAATTTTTCTCCACCCTATCTTTTTTTGGGGAGTATGGCATTTAAGTGATGTTTGATAGAGGGATTGTGCCTGCGGAGGAAATATAATTGATTGGAGCATAGTATACACCATGGGAGTGTGCACAGGGTGTGCCAATTGTGCCTGGGCACACCTTAATCACCCTGTGTGCATTAGCATTATTGCTCTGTGTGCTGGTGAGGAGAAAGATATCCCACTGACCGACTCTGCTTATTTCACTCTGAATCCACAGGCAGAGAGATAATGTGCTGGCAGGGAGATCAGAAGGATACACATGTGTGTTTGAGCTTTGGGGTGTACACCCTAATGCTATAGGCTGTGCACACCTTTGGCATGCACCCACCTTTTGGCGTTAGAACTAAACCTTGTTTAGATAAATTATTGATTATTTTTCTCATATTCTAATTAGCACAAGATAAAGTGTAGATTAAATTATAACAGATTAAAGAAAGTTACTGGATTTTAAAACAATATTTGAAAGCCACTAATGATTTCGTCAGTTAGCATTCATGTACAGCAAGATTTAGACCTCTGATTCTTGGATATAGAGCTTGTAGCACACTTCAGTGTTTCCCTAGTTATACAAACATGGCTGACTTATTTATACTGTTTTATACATTTAGGCATCACATCTACTGAAATCTTCATCTTGATGTGCCAGTTCATTTAAGTTTCCAATTCTGTTGTACTAATATCAAGGCTCCTCTACTACACTAAACCAAGAGTGTTACCTTGGTTGAGCACAGGATTAGGTTTTGTTATTTTTGCCTAAGTGATGTATTGGATCCATAGCTGTGGGAGATTTCTTTATTCATTTTCTTCATAATATAGAAAAAATACCAGTAGGGTTCAGGAAGCTTAACATTAAACTGTCTGCATGAATAACAGCTGTTTGGAAATCTTTATATACAGCTAAAAGAAATCCATTCAGACAATGATTCTATTGTTAAGGTTCCTTAGAGATTTTTGATGAAAATTGTCATCACACTTGAATAGCTATGATCAGCATTTACTTATCGACTAACACCTGCAATAACGTTGGTGTATAGGCGGTTCATTTCATGTTGACTAATGATGATGACAGCAGAGACTAGAAACTGTATTCACTTCTGCATTGTAGGCCAAGTTAACAAATGTGAGAAAAACACATAACTCTGTACTTATCTGAACTTAAAGAGGAGCTCCAGTGAAATTTCTAAAAATTAAAAGTCAGCAGCTACAAAGACTGTAGCTGCTGATGGTAATAAACAGATACTTATCTGTCCCAGGATCCAGCACTATGCTCACCCAAGCAGGTCTTCGGTCCCTCGCACCGGTATCTTAACTGCGGGCTTCCGGCTGTGAAAGCTTTCAGCTTCACAGCTGGTTGCCCCCTGCACATGCGCAAGCCAAGCTGTGCATTGTGAATGGTCCCACAGTCTTCCTGCAGTCTTCTGGGACCTGCGATGTGTCCAAGAAGACTGCAGATAGAGAGGAGAACGTCCACTTTGTGGAGTGAGTGAGGTGGCCTTAAAACAGATACTTTTATGGCGCTGTCAATATATGCAGCGCTTTTACATATATATTGTATATTCACATTAGTCTCTAGCTCTCAAGGAACTTACAATCTAATGTTCCTAACTCACATTCATACATACACATACTAGGGCCAATTTAGAGAGGAGCCAATAATATATACCAGCATGTCTTAGGAGTGTGGGAGGAAACCAAAGTACCCACAGAGGCACATGGAGAACATACAGACTCGGCAAAAAGTGCTGTGGTTGGGATTCAAACCGACGACCCTAGTGATGCCAGGCGGAAGTGCTAATTACTTAGCCACTGTGCTGCCCACGCCCCTTTTGGGTGAAGTCATGCTTTGAATTTCTGCAGAGATTGTGTGTGTGTGTGTGTGTGAGAGTGTGTGTGTGTGTGAATATATATGTAGCACAAACCCCAGACCAGGCTGGCTGTTTGGTCCCAGGTTTTATTCTCTGATAGGCACATGGCAGCCAGGCACACAGTAGTTCAGTCACTCAAGTCAGAAAGCATGTCTTTTTGCAGTTTATTTGCCAGTTTATTTGCTCACCCTTGTATAGGGCAAGGGTAAGCATTGGGATACTCCAAAAGGAACCAGCAAAAAGGGCACGAAAACTGATCTGCTCCTCCAGGGTTAACCACCCTCTTGAATGTGAAGGTTAAATGAACTTCAATGCAGGAACCCCTCAACAGGAGTATAGTCCTGAGTCATACTGTAATGGACTCTCCCAAAGGTGCTAAGGAAAGTCGCTAGGATCCTTAAGGTTAGTACTCCCTGTGCCCTGGGTACTGTAATGCCTCTGTAGTAACAGCTAGTCTCTGTACTTGATGCCTGCAACCTGGATCCCCTATAGAACTTCCCGCACTGCCTCAGGATACTCTGAACAGTGTCCCCGAGTTCTAACTGTAGCTGGGACCCTAAAATAATTTCTTCAGTGCAGTAGATGGCAACGCAAGAGTGCCTTAGCCCACAGGCTGGGTCTTACTCCCCCAGGAACAAGAGACTGATGTTCCAGGCCCCAGCTTATTTATACCACCCTCAGCCCCCTACTGGTCACTCACTCTCCTGACCAGGGATTTGGGAGTGCATGAATATGCAGGCCAGGGCCAGACCCTTCCACTCACTATATTCCATAATTCAGTGTAATGCAAGGGAAAGTAGTTGAGCCTGTACTAGCAGAACCCAGAACAGCCAAAAGCTAATGATCACTGCTCCCCTTACTATGCTGTAATCTAAAAGGTAGCAGCCCTAGACCCTGACAGAGTCTATTATTCAACACCTACAAATGGGATACATATAACCCATTGGAAGAAATTTCCTCTATACCCTCCACACAGTAACTTAGCTCTAGGCAGAATGTGGCATCATCGGTCCAGCACTGTTTTCCACCCAAACTTGATAAGCCTTACTATAGGGAAGCCAAAAACTAAATTTACCTAGTCACTAGCAGCCTAAATAAGGGGGGGGGGGGGTGCTACATACTATATATATATATAGATATATATATATATATATATATATATATATATATATATATATATATATATATATATATATATATATATATATATAGGGATTGTGGTGATTAAATTCAAGCTGTAGGTGTGTTTTCCATGAGTTGCGCCAGTCCAAAACTGTAATTTAGGGGAATGGAATCCACTTTTATTAAATAAACCAAAAGTTTGCATGTAGGCCAGTTGCCCACGCATGGGTTATATTGTATTATATACAAATGAAAATGCCGAGCAACCTGGCTCACTTGTTGGCAGCACTGCTGCTTCTCTCACCAATCCCTTTGACTGTGTTTTCTGGCTTACCTAGAAAGTTTGGCTCTCTAGTCTTTAGTTGCAGCACCCTGCTGCACAGCCCACCTCTAACCTATGGATTGGGGTTCTCTTGACACCCCTAATAGGAGCTGACCTGACTCTTGGAACTGAGACCTGCTGTCTCTTGGCTGGGGCACCTCTGCCCCCTCGGTGAGACCTTCTGTCTCTGGCACCTCTGAGCCCTCAGTGAGACCCTCTGTCTCCTCAGCTTCTGGCTGGGGCACCTATGACCCTTTGGTGAGACCCTCTGTTTTTCAACTTCTGGCTGGGGCACCTCTGATCCCTCGGTGAGACCCATCTGTCTCTCAGCTTCTGACTGGGGCACCTTTGACCCCTCGTTGAGACCCTGTATCTCTCAGCTTCTGGCTAGGGCCCCCTGACCCCAGGTGAGACCTTCCGTCACCCACACTGGGAGCAGTCTATAAACTGGCCACAGCCCTGAGCTTTTCCTCAAACCTGTCTATATAATGACCCCTGCACACCTGTGCACTCTGACAGGTTGCAGGCATCTGCCAAAACCCGGACACAGAATTGAAAGTTCGATCCAGAATCCAGAGAAAGACAAAAACACAGATTTCTTTGCTAAGCAACAGCAATCTGGAACTTCACATTGAGCCTAAATGCGAATCCTGTATCACAATTTCCTATTTTCTC